AAAAATGTTGCTGAAGCCACACACTTACTTCGAAACGTTGCAACAGTGGTACTGAATGGATACGATGGCTCAGTGAAGGCTTCTTCTTCTTCTTCGTCTAGCCATTCACGTCCACATCTGAACATAAGCCTCTTCAAGTCTTCCTTTCCATTGTTTTTTATTGTACGCTACTTGTAGACAATTTTTCCCGGCAGTCCTTTTCAGATCATCTGTCCATCTGATAGGAGGTCTGCCTCTGGGTCTTTTGTGTTGGTGTGGTCTCCAGGTTAAAATTGATCTGTGCCATTTGTTTAGATCGCTCCTAGCTACATGTCCAGCGTATTCCCATTTCAACTTTAATGATTTTTGCATCACATCGGTGACTTTGGTTTTCTGTCTTATCCATGTGTTTGTTTTCTTGTCCTTAAGTGATATACCTAGCATTGCTCTTTCCATCGCGTGTTGAGTGACTCTAAGTATATTCATATTCTTTTTTGTGATTGTCCATGTTTGTGCCGCATAAGTTAATATCGGGATAATGCATGCATCAAAAACTTTAGATCTAAGATGTAATTGAATTTGTTGATTTCTAAGTATTTCTGATTTTACTCAGAAATCAGTGAAGGCTACACCGCCCTTATTCATAGATTACTAGAAATATACCGAAAATTGACGACAAGTGAACTGCAGATGTGGTGACGACCAAAAAAAATCAGCGCTATTGTAAGAATATTATTTGAGGAGCAATTTCCCAAAATTGTGCTGCCAACACGACAGGCTTTATTTAATTTCAACACGAGATTTGACAGCACTGGTAATGTTGCTGATTTACCTCGATGCGGTCGTCCACGCACTTCACGTTCAGAAGAAAATCTATATTTAGTTGCGAAAGTGTTGTTGAAAACTCCACCGTATTGACCAAAAGACGGGCTTTAGAATTGGACATGCCTCGGTCAAGTTTTGCAAGACATAATGAGGGAGTTGGAATTGAAATGCTACCGCCCTCGACTTCTGACTGCTTTACATGAAGATGATTTTGACAGGAGAGTGGAATTTTCAGAATCGTTCGTAATTCGGTCTGAAGTTGAAAATAATTTTGCCGATCGGATTTTGTGGACAGATGAAGCCACACTTAAGTTAAGTGGTTTTACAAAGTGATAGAAATGGCTCGTTTAAGTTACCATCAAAAAAGTGGATAGCTACAACCTCTCTGATCCATAAACTAATTTTCATAAATATCGTGTTCCGAAGTAAGTTCCGACATATAGATCGTGTAAACTAGTGAAACACCCTGTATACTGTACAGTATTATGGAAGACCCTGTACATTTGTCTAATTTTAAAGTGTGAAGCTTACAGATACCTCCTATTTTCTAAATTAATTTTTTTGGTATCTCCTCTATTAACAAATAGCAAATAGATATAACGTATTTTGTCAAAAAAGTGTATCACCTTGTATACAGTAATAAATTAAAAATAAAGTAAAACATTTAAAAAAATAAATAAAAGATGAAGAAAGGCACCAATGTGTAATTCCATGAATGAAGGATATAAGAAGGGAAATTAAATTTAATAATGCACTCTTTAAAAATAATAAATATTTTGTTTTTCTTTGATAATGTACTAAAATAAATGTGACTCGATTAAAAATATTTCACTAATCCAAGATTCACAATATCAAGAAGATACATCGTATTTTCAAGCACTATAGATATTTTTGTTAATTGACTTACCTTGCTCTGCCGAAGAATTTAAATAATCTGAACCTGAGGATGTGTTCAAATGATTATCCCACGTTTTCAAGTTGATCGGTTCTTTGATATCGTCCAATTCGGGTTTCACAGTATTGAGTATATTTGAATTGTCATTGGTTGATTGCAGTTGACTAGTATTCAATTCACATATTGGTTGAACTGGCTCAAAGTCGGAAGATTTTATTGGAGATTGTTGATTTTCTATCTGTAAACAAGAAAAAACCGGTCCTTGTATATGGATCAGAGACATAGACACTGTCAAAAAGCGATGAGAACCTAATAGGTACGTTTGAACGAAAAATCCTTAGACACATATATTATAAGGGGGTGAAAGAAAATGACATATGGCACAGAAGATATAATATTGAACTATACACAGCATACAATGAACCCGAGGTCATAACATTCATAAAGATCGGACGTCTGCGCTGGATGGGCCATGTTGAACGGATGTTGGAGACTGAAACACCAAAACATATGAGGCATACATCAGTAGGGAGAAGGTCAAAGGGAAGACCCAAAGTTAGATACATGGAACAAGTCGAACAAGATCTAAAAACACTTAAGATTACCAAGTGGAAAAACAAAGCAAGGAACAGAACAGAATGGCGGAAAATTCTAGAACAAGCCAGAATCCAGAAAGGATTGTCGAGCTACTGATGATGATGATGAAACAAGAAATATATGTAAGATGGTATTAAACCAAAATTAATTATAGATATTGCTGTTTCGATTTTTAATTCAGAAATAAATCATTTTCAAAAAAATTCTGAAGTAAAATTGTGAAAATACGAAATAAAATTATAGTCGTTTAATCCCATATAAAAAATATTTCAGTGTAAAACATTTCACAAGGAAACAGATTTTGAACCTTTGTAACATAGAGTACGTTACCATACGTATGTTGCTCCGTCGCCAATCAGTATGCAGTGGTTGTTTAAAGCAATAACAGCGTAGATTTTTAATTTATTTTTGTAAACAACATGTCTGTTTATACGCCTGCAGAAAAGGTTCAGATAATAAAATGGTTTTATAGTGGTAATTCTGGACAACAGTGCATAGATTTATTTTCTGTGTTTTTTGAGGGGAGACCAATTCCTTTCGTACAGTCAGTTCATAATATTGTTACAATTTTGAGAGTTGTTATTGCCTCAAAACTTACAAAAAATGTCAAGCTCAAGAAGTGTCACCAGAACAAGTTGAGGAAAGAGAATACCGGGATACACAAATTTGTGCAACAATCGAAGTAGATTCAACACGTTAAAGTAGAAGCGTTGCTAGAAAGTTAAATGTTAGCAATGTTACTGAGACGAAAGTATGCAAAAAGCACGGTTAAAAGAATTTTAAATATTCTAAAACGCAGCAGCTTTTTTTTGAAGAAACAAAAACAACATGCATGAACTATGTGACAACAACATTTGAAGACGATAGGAATGTATACATAAAAGAATATATAAAAACTGTGAAGAACACATGACAAACACACAATTCAGCTTCAGGGATGTATTGGGTACTTGAGAGGCACTTTTTGCAATACAAGTTCTCTTTCAAAGATGTAGAGACGTGAATTGTGTGTTTTGTTGATTACCAGAAAGCGTTCGATATCGTTGAGAACGATTGAACAACATAAGATACGCTGATGATACTGTCATTTTTGAAGATAGTCTTGAAAGTCTGCAGACACTTGTCTCCAGGGTGGCAGAAGTAAGTAGTAGGTTTGGTCTTGATTTTAACATAAAAAAACCAAACACGTGGTTATTACCAAAAATAGAATATGAACAGTGGGACCAATCGACGGAAATTAAGATAAGAATCGAGAAGGCAACATCAGTTTTCGTCAAAATGAAAAAAATCTTAAACAGCCACGATATAAAATCGGAAATAAAAGAGACTCAAAGCATTTGAGATGTGGTGCTATAGACGAATGTTGAGGATTTCCTTGATAGACAGAGTTACCAACGAAGAAGTATTACATAGAATGGGTAAAGAGCGCGAATTAGTCGTAACCATAAAACGTCGCAAACTGGAATACCTGGGCCATATAATGCGCGATGAACAACGATATGGCCTACTTCGGACCATACTTCAACGTAAAGTGCATGGGAAAAGAGGTCTAGGACGAAGAAGAATATCCTGGCTGCATAACCTGCGAAAATGGTTTAACTTAACCACACCGGACTTTTGAGGGCAGCAGTCAAGAAAGTCAGAATAGCCATGTTAGTGTCCAACATCCGTAACGGATAGGCACCATAGGAAAAAGAAGCAGCAGCTTTCTCCAGACGACTACTTTCCAAGAATGGAGTTTTGAGAAACTCTAATAATGAAGGCTAAGGATAAACCAAATTTTATTAAAAACATTTTATTTACTGATTAATCTTCTGTTTCATTTGTACGGACACAATCCGTGCATTACGAGGTATTGGGCGCGGGAAAATCAGCACAGAAGTTTTGTTTACTGAACTCAACATCTTCAAAAAGTTAACGACTTTACTGGCATTTTAGGAGACCACATAATAGGTCTATTTTTTATTGAGGGCAACTTGAACAGTACAGTATACCTCGATTTGTTACAGAATCATGCTTTTCCTGCTATCCTTCTCCGAATAATTAGGGGGTACTTAAACAATACTTTCTCGAATTGAGTTATCAGTGGAACAGGCGATATTAAGTGGCCTGGCGATCTTCAGATCTTACATCAATGCAATTCTTTTTTTGGGGACATTTAAAAAGCATCAGCTACGATCATCCTGAGGCTAGAGCCCAGAATTTGTATTAAAAAACCGAATAAGAGAATAGAAGTCTACAATTCCGTTACAGCAGAAACTCTTACATCTGTCCGCAAAAGTTTTTATGACAGATTGGGATACTGTTCAACTGTAGAAGGTTAAATATTTGAATCATTTCTGTAGGGGATAAAGAATTGGGTATTATATTTTATTTCAATAAGAATGTTCTTTTATTTTTAATTTAACCACAAAAAATTGTTTACACTATTAAAAACCGATACAAATGCACCGCCTTATAAAGGTCAGTGTATTTTTATCGAGTTTATGTTATAAGAAATGAAGCGGGTATACGTAAGAAAAATAAAAACCGACGGACTGAGATGAATATCCCATGCGTTATATGTTACTAAATGGTTTTCTCGTTTTCTGTCTAGGAGTCGGAGGGGATCGGAGAATTTACCTTGTACAAGGCAATGTTGCTGATTTTAGCGCTTTATGTAGTTTGCAATATCTAATCCAAAACTTAACATACTGTATTTAGTTTAATGAATACACACCTTGGAGCGTTTGCCACTTACACCTGCATTATTCAAGTTTTTTGTTCGTTTTGTTAGTGCTGGAGAGGAAGGAATTGGTGTTGGAGATGAATGTGAGTAAGAAGGGAGTTCTACATCTGTTTCAATCAGTTCATTATATATTTCATTTTCCTCATCATTGTCACATTCGGCTTTGTTATCTTTGGAAGAGGATCCATCCTCACCCTGAAATTATATAAAATAAAATAACATTAAAAAATGTAAATCTGTTCCTTACAGCTTTAACATTTTAGCTGTTTAAGTGTCCTTGCCTATATTTTTTAATGTTTTATTATTTAAACTCTCTTTATAAAGTGTTTATAAATTTAAATTTTGAATTCGGCAAAACAATGAGAGAGAAGACAGATTGGCTCAATTCTGCCAAGAGACCGATTTTATTGTTGCGAATACTTATTATGATCTGCCGCCCAGGAGACTCGATATATGGAAATCTCAAGCAGACAACCAACATAACGTCATCAGAAACCAAATTGACTACCTTCTCATCTGCAAATGATACCTAAATTCCATAAAATCAGTAAAATCATACCCGGAGCTGATGTGAGATCAGATCACAACACAGTTGTAGGAAGGTTTAGAATTAATCTAAAAAAGCGTATGGCTAAAACTAGAGAGGATACAAGTATCCCGTTTGAGAGATCCATCAACAAAAGAGTAAGTCACACTAAAAACTAAAGAAGAGCTCACCAAAACAAAAATTATTCCTACTGAAGATGTGAACAGGAAATGGCATATGTTAAAAGATGCTATTATACGCACATGCGAGACAACACTCACACCTAAGCTGATCAAGAACAAAAATGAATGGATGATTGATGAGATTCTGGATCTCATAGAAGCAAGGAGATCTTATAAAACCAAAGGCAAAAACAAGTATAATACTATACACAGAAATAAGGAGAAAAATCAGAGATGAAAAGGGAAGATGGTATAGTGACAGATGCAAAGAGATTGAACAGTTGGTAGAGAAACACAATAACTTAAACCTTCATAAAAAATTAGGGAAATACCAGGCACTAATATTAGGAAAAAAAAATCAAATATACTGCTGGATAAAAACGGCAAAATAAGTTGAAGCAACAGTAACAATTGCATGTTATGAAAACATTTCAAAGTATACTGTTCATTGTCTATTTTTTTTTTAATATAAAAAATTAGCTTAAATAAGTATGAAAATATTAAAAAATTGTAAAAAAATATGTTTAGAATATTTCTCAATAATGTTGTATGTTAAAAATATAACGGTAAAACAAAATAATAGTGGTCTACATAAATATAATGAGCCTATATATGTTATGTATTAATACTTACAGGATCATCTCCTGTCAATCCTTTTACTTGAAGCAGCTCTGCAGTTCTAAGAAATTGTGTTAAATTTTCCCTTAATACACTGACTTCCCCCATGTACATAAATTCTAAAATATCTTTCATGTTCTCATGCCTAACGTCTTTTAATATTACAATAGGATGCTTGCAGGGGTTGGCTTTGAACATTTGTTTAAAATAGGGACTGCATATGGACAGTACAATTTTATGTGCTTGCAAAAAATGACCATCTACAGCTAATGTTACATCTACCATTTCTGCACTTTCTAGAAGATCATGGAAGCCTGAAGTCATGTTGGAATGGAAGTTGTTCCATCTCAATGAAAATTGTTCAGTTGTTGCCATTTTGCTAAAAATAGTTTTGTTAAAAAGATAGTTACTAGACTATCCAAAAACAATATTTTTTATACAAAAATATTAACAATAATTTAAAAACAAAATTAAATTTATTCACAAAAATGTACTTGAAACTCTGTATTTTAAGATGCAGGTTGAATAAATTAAATATTATATAGGATGTAGGATGAATAAATTAAAAAAATATAACTACAAAATATTTATTATTAGTCCTATGTCAACACTGCACATAAAAAGCAAAACAATACAGTGTTAGTGATATACACACTTGTACTTTTATCTTTGTTAAAAATAGTTTAGATGTACCTATATATAATTATGTTCTAATTTAATCATTAGGGAAGTGCATCTTACCAATTAACCTATAAATAAATCAGCTTACTCACCCTATTTTAGAATTACCAACAAATTATAATAAATAACAATATTTAAATAAATTTAAAAATTTGTCTAAGAAAAGTTACATAACATCACTAAGAACTGTAAGCTGAAGCTAAGCTGAAAACACGAGAACAACCCTAATTAACCATTTCCGGACCAATCCGGGCATCCGGGATTTGTTGATTGATGAGGATGGAACATCGACCGTTTTCGACTTTTTACGAAGATCGAAATATTTGGCTAAAAGGACTGTAGATCCAGACAGAGATCCATGGATCATTATCACTGGCCTACAATAACATATTATTCAACCAGGCCAACTTTTATAAAGAACTAAATAATTAAAATAAATACCTCCTTTTTCATTAAAATTTAAGTATTTTACACATAATTTGTCAAAAATGATTATGTATTACAATTAATATACTTTTTATTAGAGAATATTTTTAAGTTGCCATCGTTTGTTCGTTTAGATACCTCCGAACTCCGAAATAAAAAAGAACTTTCTGACATAAATTTAAACAGAGCTAAATTGTGAGGTTAGGTATTTGAAATTTTATAAAGTTATATGATGTTGTCTTTTTGGAGACTTCAAATAATATAAAATACAATAATTATGGCACATCGGCTGTTAACCAGTTGCAGAAGATTGGAAAATCTAGTGTGGAAAACATTCAAGCAAAGTAATGTAAACTTTTCACAGGTAGGTTAAATTATTTCATAACAAAATGATGTTTAACATAAGACTTTTTAGACCAAATTTTCTTTAAAAAGAGCTGTGTTAGACGAATGGCGATTATTTTGCGAGAAGCCCCCTAAAGGATTTGAAAAGTACTTTAAGCCGGGTGGGGCTAAAGAAATCAAAGAACCACCCAAAGAAAATAAGGAAGTTAAAGGGAAAGATGGAAAGACTGAACCACAAAAAGAACTTCCAAAACCACCACCAAGCAAGGCCCCTGGTCCTGGCACCAGTTCTAAGCCTTACGAACAGTGGTCATTTGGACTTTTTGGAGGATCTGGAAGAGGGTAACTATTTATAATTATACTTGTCCCCTGTTTTGTTACATTTTTTAATTAAATAACTGCATTCATGATAGTAGGAATGTGTAGGGTTAATTTTTTAAGTATAAAATAACACTCCAATGTAACTTCTCTACAATGTTTAATATACAATATTAACCAAACATGATCATTAAGAAAGCAAGAAAATATTTGAATTGATTACAGAAAATTTAAAATAATTTTATTCTACAACAGTGTTACAATATCATGGGTATATATTTTTATTGTTTAATAACATTTATAAGAAATGCTTGGCACTCATAGATTTTGACTTTGACAACCTATGCACCTAAGAAATAGTTTATATTATTAGTTGAATTTATTGTTTATCAAGTTTGTTGCTGCACAATAAAAATATAAGTTAGGATAAACTATATAAGCATTTAGAGAGTTCTTTTCATTTAGCCAATAATGACAGAGCAGAAAAGGTAGTGATTTACCTAATAAACTAATCACATAAAATCAATGTAGAAATGTGTCTTTAACTTTCTTACATACAAATACATCTGTTAAAGATGAAATTATAATTCTGTTCATCAAATTCAACCATTAAATATTGTTTCAAATTTCATATTTCCTTATATATTAATAAAGCTGCTATAAAATCAAATTTTTTCATCAAATTAGAAACATTTACATTATGTCCCAAGGTGTCATTCTTGGCCCTCCTACTTGTCATATGCTGTTTAATCCTAGGACCTTGTAGATTGTCATTAATTTACCTTTACTTAGTATCTTAAATTTTATTTTAGAAATTATTACTTAATTGAGGCACAGCCACCTAAAGTTACAAGCCGTGAAGTAAAAAAGGCAATGTCACAACATATGATTAAAGTAGTCCTATGAACGAGAAATATGGTGGTCCGTTTTATAACCCTAAATATTTTAAATAATAATTCGTGGATCTCTTTTTAGCATTGCATAAATAAGAGAAATTTTAATTAAATTTAATAAAAGGAAAATATGAAATAAATAAATAAACCTGTTAATAATATTTATTTTCCGTTTAAAGGTTAGAAATGTATAGGAATAGTAAACATTTATAATTTTTAAAATCTAGAGTTCTAATTAATTGTTGGTAGTATCTAACAGATTAACAGAAAATACTGGTATGTACTCAGTCTACAAGCCATAAAAAAACGCATACAGGAGAGTCATTCATCAATCATTCTGAATTACAATATTCTTGTAAAGTATAAAAACACTTTTAATTAGATACTTTTCTAGCTCAGTGCACACCTTTTTATGTCTCATTAATTTTACTGATATTACATTAACAAAAAGAGAGGTTACATTAATACTGTAATCACTGTCACTGAAAATAGTACAATTTTATGGACAAAGCTAACAAAAAACTCAAAATAATATAAAATAACAAAACAAAACAATCTTAAATTAGTAAAATTATTGTACACCTTACATAATTTGTACAGGCAACCACAAAATTCAAAACAAATTGTAGCTAATGTGTGAGATACTCAAATGTAAATGTACAGAATACTAATAATGTTGTTTCTTTGCTATTCATTAAGAAACTCATGGACTAAATAATATAGTCTTTCAGAGAGATAGGCTTTTGTCAATTTACAGAACTGGGTGGCAGGTGTTGCAGATTTAATTTGCCCCAGTAGGTGATTATATAGTTTTTTTTGTACTATATAGGATTTTTTACTTACTCAGAGGCCAAGATCAGTAAATAAACATCATAACCAGAATTTCTAATGGAGTAGCCATGATCAGGTCTTTCAGGAAAATTTTTTAGATGCTTGTAAATCTAAAAGTTTCTAAAATATATAAAGGAGGATGCAGATGATTGACACAGATCTTATTGCAAAAGCAAGCTAGTTTCTTATTTCAGGAATCAGTATGCAAGGACCATTTACAATTACTATCGATAAGAATACCTGGTAAATATTACAGAATTAACTATATTGATTTGGCTGTCATTTAAAAACAGGGGCTGAGTGCCTCCTTAGCTACTATCTTATCCACATTAAAGCAAGGTATGAGTTGGAGTCAGACCAAACCTTTATTGTAAGTAAATCAGTGGTTATAATTGAATGAAAAGTTGAAATATTAGAGTTGCTGACACTGAAGAAAAATCATTGTTAGAAAGAATCAGGGTGCCACGTTGAGCTGAACTTTGATGAACATACCTAACAGTTGTGGTATATGAAAATATAAAAAAAAATAACTCATCAGTCTTATTTCTAATAGATTGAATATTAATAAGAACCGAGTTAGGATATTTTCCAGTTGAGACCATCTTACACTTAACAAATTTTCACCTATATATACAGTAACTTTTAAATTTTTAGAAATTTTAACGCTACTTAATATTTTTAGACCAATGTCATATGAGTCACTACATTATTGAATGTTTAAAAAATAAAAATATACACTGTCATTCGTTACTTTTTATTTATTTATTTATTTATTTATTTCAACGGTAGAACCGTTTACAATAAAATACAACAAATAGTAAAAAGTAAAGATCATGTACAATAAACATCAAAACAATAACAAAGAAACAAGTAAACAGTTAAAATTTTTACATTTAAACAATATATCATATCACAAAAATTTTAAAAAAAGTATCAGTATCACATGGTAACTATCACATATCGAGATTAATAGTCAGATTCTTAAGTTGCCTTTTAAAAGTATTAATGTTTGGCAGAAAGGATCCAATAGGAGGTCATTGCAAGAGCTGAGCATTCTCGACAAGGGAAAATGACGAGCATAATCAGTCATATGAAAAGGAATATAAAAGAGTGCAGTGTGTCGAGTTCTATGCATTGTGTTTAAGTATACATTGGCTAATAACGAGGGCCAATTAATAACGTTTAGAATTTTAAACAAAAATAACATATCAGCTCTTAACCTGTGGTTCTTCAATGTAGCAATGTTAAAATGAGACATTATTATAGAATAATCTATGAAATAATTATCAGTATTTTTTATATTAATATGTGCTTTAAAAGCTAAAGATCTTAGAAACTTCCTCTGAACGCTCTCCAATCCATCAATGTATACTTGATGAAACGGGGACCAGACAACAGAGCAGTATTCAAGACCTGAGCATACCAGAGAGCAATACAATAATTTAAATACAATATGTGAGAGATCATGACTGTTACGATAAATAAAACCAAGATTACGAAATCCTGTTTCCTTAATTTTAAGAAAATGGCTTCTAAATGTCAATGCACAATCCAATAATACACCCAAATCTCTAATATCAGTAACTGAATCCAAGAGTACATCATTAAGAATATATCTATTAGCTATTCGATTATTTATACGACCAAATGAAATACAAGAACATTTAGTTGGATTTAAATTTAAACCATTTTGTTTTGACCATAAACATATGTTGTTTACATCATCTTGCAGGAGATCTCTATCAGATTTATTATGTATACAACGAAATATCTTAAGATCATCAGCAAATAGCAGGAAGTGTGAGTTTTTGATAGCTTTACCAATATCATTAATGAACAAGTTAAAAAACAAGGGACCACAATGAGATCCTTGTGGCACAC